TATCGGACAAAAAGTAAAACAGGAGGTGACCAATGACAATATGTATTGAGGATTCTCTGAAGTTTCATCAAATTTCATTCAGTGATATTAGAAGGATTGCTGGTAAGAGATTGGTACACCAAATCCTAACAGACAGACGGATGGACGGATGGAATGTTCCAATCCAATATGCCCCGTCTCATCAATGTCCATTATCTCCAAATATGAAGTCCCGCCAAAGAAAGAAGATTAGACAGAGAAAAAACAAAGGAATAAAAAAACTAATTTAAACTTGATGTACTGTTAGCAATGAGCGAACTAAATGATACCCCCACTCCGCTTTAAATGATGAAGTCTCAGCTCAGCAAAAATAACAGAGAAATGATTTCAAAGGCCGATGTCTGGAAGGAAACTGGGAATAAACAATACTTCAGTAGAGGTTCAGTATTTCACTGTATTTTTTAGATGATTCACTTGATTAACTTAAATTTATATCCCCCCCCCCCGATAAACATAGATTTACAGATGAAAACTTTTGTTAAGGAATTGTTAATTATAGTTCACGGTTTGTAAACTATAGTTTAAAGTCGATAAACCTAGTTCATCAACTTTAAACTAAATGTAGCTCATGTTTGTGAATTCGGTGTGCCATATATATCATCGGGGTTCTTCTAATCGTTAAAAACATATCATAGATATTCATAACTACGCTAGGTCCATGATATATAAATACAACCTACTTAGACACAACCCGACTTGGACACGTTGACTTGACAAAACAGGTAAGAGGGTTTTTTTAACAGTTTCATATACTTCTGATATTCTCAAACACTTCGAAACTATTCGACAGATTTCATAATTTATGGTGATCGAGTGGTCAAACAAGCATGGTTTGCACTATCTACACGGGGCTTGTTACAGTACAAACAACACAAGGAAACTTTTATCCTTTAGATCCAATAATTTCGACTTGACTAGACTTTGTAAGAATTAATAAATAATAAAGATATCCGATCCATAAAAGGACATAATTTCTCACCTTGAATATACATTATTTATTAAATTCTCTGAAATTAATTTAAAGCAGTTTAGAGTAGAAAAGGTTTTACAAGGATAAATGATCAAAATATAATTAACCGAAGAGTAACTGGTTTAGTGAGAATGTAATGAAGTCTGAGAAAAAGCAATTTTTTAAATAAAAATTTGAATACAATGAATATCAAAGAAACATCTTTGGTGGAAAGATGCATATTATTACAAAAAGTAGAAAAACGATTAAAAAAGCTTATTTTTTACCAGATAGACTGATTAAAAGTAAAAGGGTATACAATTACTCTTTAAGGACGGGTCAAGGTAAAAAAAAAATTTAGGACACATTGCACACTCTAACATATTCAGACTAAAACATGAAGATTGTTTATGCAAATACTTAGTGTTTAGCTAATATATATCTGGTATGCATTCAAATTCATTGAATCTGAAGCTATTTTGGATCGGATGCCTTAAGACAGTTTCCCTTCAATTAGTTATTGTAAAGTAAGGGGGTCGTTTCTTGGAAAATGCAACGAATGGAGAAATCGCAAAATGAAATAACATGTAAACTTCGGTTTGTTTTAAAGCTTTTTTATTTTTTTTTTCATTCTGCCAGTACCTTTTGATTTGCTCATAGTTATCTATAAATCGATATTTAGTCCTATCTTTAATAATTTGGGTAGTTGCCAAATCGTACATCATTTTAAATTTCGACTTTTTTTCGTTGTTTGGTTTATTGATACTGTATACTTAATTTGATACTAGTATGTTACGTATAAAAATCATTGTTAGATACTCCTAGAAATAAAACCATGCATTATTAGTCGTTCAGTACTCTAAAGTAAACGAGCATAAATGCACATTAATTACTATATTTCATACATGTACATTTTAATTGGGTTCTGCACGGTCGAGCACTGGCAAAGTCTTAGTAGCATTTGGAAATAATTACCGGTAGGCAGTTTATGCCAAAGAAAAAAGCTAAAATTTTTATGGTTAAAAATATTAATCATTTTTAATGAGAAAAAGGCAAATCTAGCCCCGGCTCGTCAGTCCAGCCCTTGACCTTTTTGGAAAATCTAACGTTAATACAATATAAATGTAATTTACATTTTATATGAAGAATTGAAAGCTGAAAAAACTGAAGAAGGTATGCTTACTACCTCAAGTGCAGAAAATGTATGTACGCGTATATGATAAACAAAGGGAGTAGTGTTTAAAAATAATAAACCATAAACTGAGCAGAACTTAAACAAAAATGTTTTCTTAGTATATACACTACATGTATTTACCCTTCTTCAATGTATGATAACCCCAACCGCCTTTTTTGAAGCTCCATACATATACATTTCTTCAGTATAATCATAATTTTTGGAACACAGAGTGACGGTTTTGTTGGACCATGCTCAGTTTTTTTTCCATATTCCAAAATTTGTATTTACTCTAACTTACCTGATAAATTCAGTTTTCAACATGACAATTTCAATGAAGTAAGAATTTCACACTTGTAATTTTCTTGAAACTTATTGAACTTAAATTAAAGCACATAAATTTAAACAAGAGATTCTTTGGGCACTGGGCCCATTAAAGGAAACCACTCATGACAACATGAAAGAAAGAATCTCTGCAAGTATCTTTAAATTTGATTCAGTGGTAAAGGAAGAGTTGCGGAAAAGAGATACATGTAGGTACCCCTCAAAGCTTTGAAAGAATGACAGTGTCCATGTTTTTCTATAGGAAAGTCGGAATATGTGTCCGATCAAAAAGTCAGATAGGAAGTGCAAAATGGCATTATGTAACAAAGAATCTCTGAAGTATCATTAAATTTCATTCAGTGATATAAGAAAATTGAAAATAAGAGATTGGTGCAATTCTGAAGTATACTCATACTTTTTACAATAGGGGACGATTAATGCAAGATTTTATTTCTACTTTCTTACATTGATTTTTATACGTAACATTATAATAAAGCAACAAAAAAACCATCAAATAAAGTATGTCAACAAAGCAAACAGCGGAAGAAAAGTCGAAATTTTAAATGATGTACGATTTTCTACTCCCAAAATTATTAAAGAAGCAATTAAATGTCGATTTATTCATAATTATGAGCAAACAAAAAGCTATTGGCAGAATTTAAAAAAAGCATAAAATACAAACCTATGTATACATATGATTTTATTTTGCGACTCCTCCATTCGTTGTCTTTTCCAAGAAACTACTCCCCCTCCCAATATGTTACAATTACTGACTGAAGAGAGCATATCTTAATTATCATTTTTTTCAAATTCTACTCAAGTTTTAATTATTGGATCTAAAAGATAAACTTAACGTTTGCTTTCGTTGTTTTAATTGTAACAAGTCCCGCAGAAGTCGTAGACGATGCAAACCATGCATGTTTCTGACACACTCGATACCGTTAATATGAAATTTGTCGAATATCTTAAAAATAAGTTTCTGCCTATGTTAAAGTTTATTTAAGAGTGCATCAACTGCAAGGTATAGGTCTTTAATATCCTTAGGGCGAATTTCATATCAGATACATGAAGATTAAAATAAAAAATGCACATGTCAAAAAAATATAAAGGTCTTGTCCCTTACAAAGCAAACGCAACGGCCCAGATTAATATTTTTTGAAGGTCATACTTTTAGGTCAAGAAGTAAGTAAAAGTTGTTGATTAATTTTTATGCCCCCGTATAATCAAAGATTCAGGGTGGGGTATATTGTTTTTTTCTATGTCCATCCATCTGTCTTTTTATCTGTCTGTTAATCTGTTCGCAAATAATTTGCCAATCTTTAGGGCTTTGGTTTCATATTTCACGTGTGTATTCTTCGTGACAAGACCTTTCTTTGGGGACCATCAAATTTGACATTTTTTTACTTTTGTGTCTAACTCAGTTTTGCAAACTTTTACCTAACATTAACCTAAACCATATATTTTGAACAGTTAATACTAGAACTTTTACATTTCATATTTGTTATCCATGTGACAAGACCTTCCAATGGATACAGATAATCTTGAACTTTTGACCTATTTTTAAACAAACTTCAACTTTGTACATAACTTTTGAACAGTTTGGCCTGGAGCTTTCTTACTTCAAATATGTAAACATTGTGACAATACCTTCCTATAGATACCAACAATTTTGGCACTTGACCTACTTTTTAAAAAATAAACATTTACTACAGCATTTGAACAAGCAGCACTACGGCATTCATTTTTCACAAGTGAGTTTCCTATGAGACGCTAATTTGAGTACCAACACATTTCATTTGCATTTGAAAAAGTTTTCACCTTTTGCTATAATGAGTCATATGGAGGTATCAGTGTTTCACAATCACATCTTGTTCTGAAAGGTATGCAGGCAATATACCTGTAAAACATTAAAACTTGAATTTAATTCGTTCAATAGTGATTGCTAATGTTAAAACAATGGTCAAAATGGTAAAAATGATTGGCACCCAGAGGAGGGGCTTGTTACATTAAATAAATGATTTTTTACATGTAAAATAAGAGAGTCCTAGTTCTAATGGTTCAAAAGTTATGATCAAAGCTTAAGTTTTTGGTTAAAAGTTGGTCAAATTCTAAGGTCAAGGTCAAAATGTAATAGATGTTATCACAGGGAATGTACAAGGCAAAAATAAACACATAATCGCCTCACAATCAAACGTTGTCATCATGTTAAAATTTATAAAAGTAGATCAGATTTCAAGGTCATGGGCTCAAAAATGCTGTCACATTTGGAAAGTCGTATCACTGATTATACTTGTGAAATATGACATCCCTATATTTTCTCATTCAAATGTAATACGTTATTACAAGAGATAAGGTTTCTGTGACAGACGGATAGACTGACAGACGAAGGAGATTTAATGTTCTCTCACTTTTGCGGGGACAAAATATGTTTATTACTTAAGTAAGTAAAAGTATAAAAACATCACTCAATTAACATGATTAATGTTTAGGTATATATCTTTTTCAGAAGACATCATGCCTTCGGAGTCGTTTACACACGTTCTTCCAGATGCAGATATTTTCAACCTAAAAGCGAGGCCAAATTTTACAGAAAAGAAACCAGGCCAACTTCCAGATCATATGATAAAACAATACTTTGAAAATGTAAGTTTTATCTATGCAATAGTAGTATAGGCAATCACAGCTTACAGATAAGCAAACTGGATGTCTATATACCCGTTAGTCTTACGTGAGCTTCAATGTTATTAAAAAACAATCATTGTTGTTTAAACAGTGCATAAAGGGTGGTAGTTTCAAAAGTTTTCCGGGGGGGGGGGGGACTTCTAATAATGTCCCACTTTTTGATGATAACGATAAAAAAAACTTTTTTTGTCAAAATAATTTTTAAAATATTGAATAGCATTTGAAAATGGCGTCTGAACACTGGCGGAATTTTTGAAATGTTCAAAATGCTGTTGACGTGTTACCTGGGTATGCAGGGGAATATCATCCAGTGATATTAAATTTGTACGCAAAACCGAATTTTCGATAAAGGAAATTAGGCGACTTTCGGATTAAATGATCCGGAAATTCCTTGAAGATGTATTTGTTTTTCATCGTATTTTGATTAGTTTGGGTAGTGCTTGAACTACGACGTCAATGACTTTTGCACCTTGAATAAATATCATAATTGCTGAATAGATGCAAAAGGCCATAAAGAGTTTCAACTTAAGGCATGGTTAATCTTTTCTCTTTTGAATAAAGGGTTATGTGATCGTGAAGGACTTCTTTACTAAGGAAGAATTGGATCCCTGCAGAAAGGCTATTAACAGATTTGTTGATCTGCTGGCTCAAAAATTGTACGAATCTGGACGAATCAAATGTAAGCAACGTGTAAGCAACTCTCTCTTTATCTCTTTCTCGGAATAAAGGATCATTGTCATCATGATTTATTATTAAACCTTTTGTTTTAGCGCTCTACAGTGAGTTCGGATTTTTTGAACGCTTGTCGAAGCTTGAAGAAGACTTTTCTGGCGCAAATATAATGTTACACAAATACGGAGTTTTACCACAGGTATACAAACTACTCTAGTTTACTGATGTGTGATATCACAATCAAGAGTATAAGGTAGATGGTCACTTAACTGTTAAAAAACAGGAGAGACGAATATAGAACTACAAATTACCAAAATCGTACTGAACACGGGTGCTGGCTATTAAAGTATTTTTTCAGATGAAATTTCTTCAAGAAAACATGGAAAAAGTCAATTGAAGCTTCATATGACCAGCAAAAAATTTTCAACTCTTCTCATCTATCTATCAATTTTATCATGACAATCACACAGAGTAAACTTGTGTGGATAAATATTAATCTGAATTCTTGCCTTTAGACCTACTTTGCATTGCTTGCATTACTATTTATCCGTCTTAAAAGAACTTTGGTTTTCGCGTGAAACAGTCCTCTCTCCATATATTGTAAAATTATATGATTTAAAACATACATCGGAAGTAAAATTTAGCACATTATAACAAAATGCTTCATCCCTCTCTTTTTGTGAAAAAAGGGATTGGAGTGCTGAATTAACCGGTATACCTATACGAAGTCATTTATAAGTATTCAATGTCGTCAATTACTAGTATGTAAAGACATTTGCTCTCTACTAAGGTTGCACACAGAGGTCACAAGACCGGTAAAGTTGCTCACCATCAGTGTTGTTACGGAAAGACCTTGTATGTCATGTTGGAGGAAGAGGAAATGGTCAAAACATTAGGTGAAGTCTTGTCAGTCACATGTACTAGTACCTCTCAGACAAGGTTTATTTGAATAAATGGATATAACAACATTTGTAAAATATGTGTTACATCCCTTAAAATATTAGGATTTTTGTTTCAACAGAAGTAGATTTAGACAAAGACATCGTTACCTGTGAAGTTCCCTATGGTGGAATGTTGTTGCTGAACAATATGATACCTCACAGAAGGTAAATCGTTTCCATTCCATAGAATAGAATTTGTCGGGGTTTTTTTTACATATCCATCATTGTGAATAATTGTTACCGTATAGCGGGTTATTTTAGCGGGATTCTAATTTTGGCTTTCTTTGGCGTTTTGATGGTGGTCCGCTAAAATCTTTAATTGCTAAAATAGTCAGTACTCTTCTTGGCGTCCATCTGCATGGAAAGAGCTGAAACCCTGCGACCGCTAAAATAAATTATATGGCATACCTTTCAGTTGGCAAAATGCCGAATTCTAAACCCGCCAAGAAGACCCGCTATATTGTATTTTCTTAGTTGTTAAAGTTTGAATAGAGTATAGTAACAGACACTGCGGCCAAATTTACTATATTTGTCATTTGTTCAATATTTAGCTTGCCGAATATGTCAAAAGAGATCCGCTGGAGCCTTGATCTTCGTTGGCAAAAACCAGGTTATCCCTGCGGATTTTATGGTATAAAGGACCTTCTACTGTTTCGGACGTCCAAGGATCCCAACCATAAAATCGACTGGACAGGCTTTGATGGGGATGACCGCTGGGCTAAACAGAAGGAATCAGTCAAAGACCTCAAAGGCATACTTCCGGTAAAATTAATATATTCTCAGTTACTAGACAAGCTATCTATAACAAATCAAAAAGAAGTTTAAAAATTTGTGCATTTTTCAATTACGTGAACATTTTGATATTGAAAAACTTGAATAAATATTTTGCAAGTCCTTATTATCGCGAATGAGCTTTTCAACGTCAAATTGGGAAAATAATAATTCGTGAATGGGCGGTTGGTCAAGAGATTTTACATGGATTTCACCACCATAAAAATAAAGGCGAGTAATCTATTTGCGTGTGGCGCGAAATTACACGATAATTAATTACAAGCGTATATTTAGGAATCTACAGTACAGTAAAAATACATGTACCGGTATTTTATCAGGTTCAAGAAAAATATTCACCTCTAGTAGTGGTTAATAATCAAAGTTATAATATTTCCTTACTCTTTCCTTTTTGTTATTTTCCCTCCAACAGAATACAGAAGATGCTGAGTTTGACACCACTATGCCGGGGCCGTGGATGAAGAAGTGGGAGCTCGTTCATCATAACGAACACACGGACAAACTGAAGGAAATCAAGGAGCTCACCTGGCACGTCCCCAGCAAATCTTACCTTGACCCACTTAAAGCATGCTTCACAAACTTTATATTTGACCATACCATTTACAATACTGACGTTATAACCATAGACTTAAAGTTTTATGTCTCCATGCATGATAAACAATGAATTGATTGTCTCGGATATTACGCATGTTATGCTGGTTTTAATAAAATGTACAAATCGCATTTGTACTTACATGTGGGTATCTTTCTACAGTCATATATATTATATGTAATATATTCTTAATTCTAAAAAAAATTATAAATCAAAAATAGAAATTTCATTTTTAAAGGAATAAAACTGTTTAAAAATTGTAAAAACGTATGTTTGTTAATGATTTGACTGTCAAGCGATCTGTTTTGAATTTATCTTATGAAAAACACCTGAATGTAATTTAAAACAAGACTTCCAGGAGGTCATGAAACGCAATTAATGATGGAATGGGAGGGGCAAGACTTCGAGAACTTCGTGTTCTGTATTTGGTGTATCAACAAAATTTACTCCCCTCCAACTCCTTTCTTTAAATAAATTGATTTGACAAAACTCAAAAAGTGTTATTATTATACTGTGGATTAAAAGTTTCTATTCGAAATAAGTAACTATGGGTTGGCTTGAAAAAAAGAAGACATTGTCAAATATGCAGAATTTTTTTTTATCTTGTTTTGAACCCCTAGAATATTTATATTTTTTCCGGTCGCAAATGGAAGTGAATTCAAATAGTCCAATTTTTTAACTTTTTTGTTTTTCAATATTTTTCTTTCGGATTCACAGGGTTTATAGAGTATGGAAGCCCATTTAGGACCTATCAAAAATATTTTTGAATTCGTTAAAACGATTTTTAGAATTCTATATAACGAATTCAATTTGTTATAACAGATTTTTAGAATTCGATATTATAACGAATTTAATTTGTTAAAACAGATTTATTGAATTCGTTATAACGAATTTAATTTGTTATAACAGATTTATTTAAGGTAAGTCACTCGTCAGCTTTTAAGAAAAGTTCACGCTGAAGCTTTTACTTCAAAACTACTTATTAAAATTTAATTTTTATAACATATTTAAATTCAACAATGTAAAGAAATTTTTTATTGCCTATTAAGTTTATTAATACCCCAAATATGTTATTTTTTAGTGCAAAAAGGTCACACAATAATTTACGCGCATTAATTTGCAAGATTTGGTTAATGAGAAATATTATTCAAACTATTTTACGTAAAATAAGATTATATTTATTGCCATGCTTACATCTGGTCAAATATAATAAGGGTTAAAGTAAATAACCAAAGAGATGAAATTTAAGTGCAAAAAGGTCAACTTAAATGTACCGTAGAATCAGTAGGATGCACACTGACCCCCTATTTTCTTTGCAATTTTGAGTTACACTTTATGAGTACTTATCCAAAATATACTCCTCAAAAAATCCTTGATTTAACAAATTTAACAAATTTCAGGAGTGACTTACCTTAATTCGTTATAATGAATTTAATTTGTTATAACAGATTCATTGAATTCGTTATAACGAATTTAATTTGTTATTACAGATTTACTGAATTCGTTATTTAAGGAATGAAGCTTATTTCAACTTATGTTATCCGATATAACATAACTTGGGGCAGTTTACGCTTTATAAACCGCGAAGCGGTTTATAAGAAAGCGTAAACTGTCCCAAGTTTTGTTATATCGGATAACATAAGTTGAAATAAGCTTCATTCTTTATAATTTAATTTCAGTGTAGACAATGAGATAATTTTCCTCCAGAAAAAGGCTTCAAACTGAGCTTATTCTAAAAGTAACGTCAAGCGGAGTAATACGTTTTGACGTTACTCATTTTGACGTAGGCAACTTATTTTATACGAAGTGGATTAAATCTTTTAACCAATCAAATGACGTGCTACAACTAAAATTAAATTAAATGAATTAAATTTGTTATTACAGATTTGTGACTTCGTTATAACCAAATTCTTGAATTGGTTATAACGAATTCAAAAAATCTTATCTGTCAGAGATTACTGAATGGTATGAGTTTTGTAATTTTACACTTGTTTTATTCATTTAAAAGCCCATGGATATGGTATGATTGATTGATTGTATATTGTTAAACGTCTCTCTCGAGAATTTTTCACTCATATGGAAACGCCACCACTTGCCGGTGGAGAGCTGCAAGTTTTGTCCTATGCTCGGCACTCAGGGCCATTGAGCAGGGAGGGATCTTTTTCGTGTCAACACCTATTGCGACACTGGACCTCGGTTTATACGGTCTCATCCGAAGGATCGGTCTCCACGTCCCACAGTGGGATTCGAACCCGCGACGCAAGGATTGACTCCTTACTTCGCGACTCTAGACAGACGCTCTAACCACTGCACCACGCGGGCGACGATATGGTTTCAAACACCACTCAACGATACTTATTTTCGTTTGTTCTTCAAATTGAATGCTAGTTTTGCCTATGTCTGCTTATGTTTATCAAAATTTATTGTTTTATTTCGGTCGCAAATTTAAAATGTACCCTTTGATTATATGGTGGCTTTATAAAATAACTTCAATTTTATCTATTTATAAGTTTTTAAAGGGTATGGCGAGTAAAACAACAAACAAATAAATTAGTAAAAATTATCGTGATGCCAAATTTTCAATGTTTGAGAAGTGTTGAGTGGTATAGCATAATTTTTTTTTATATTTCGTTGTAGAGAGAGAGAGAGAGAGAGAGAGAAGAGAGAGAGAGAGAGAGAGAGAGAGAGAGAGAGAGAGAGAGAGAGAGAGAGAGAGAGAGAGAGAGAGAGAGAGAGAGAGAGAGAGAGAGAGAGAGAGAGAGAGAGAGAGAGAGAGAGAGAGAGAGAGAGAGAGAGAGAGAGAGAGAGAGAGAGAGAGAGAGAGAGAGACATAAATTTTGGGGTCTCTACATACATTGAAAACAAAGAAAATTAAACTCTTACAAAAAGTAGTGATTTCACAATATATAGATGGATTTTATATATTTTTTAACACATTTTTGAATTTTTGAGCCTCTACAATGGGAAATTTTTTGTGGTCTTTGCCGATGGTGAAAAAGTCTTCAAACTATGAACCGGGATTCTTAAGGAATGGCTTTCATTATTTTAGGTTCATGCCATGTGAAAAAATACCCCTTTTTTAGATATAAATATTTTGTTTTTACTTTTTAATTTGGTCTTGATCTTTGAGTTAGACCCACTTAAAAAAATTTCAGATTTTAACCTTAGTCATTCCTATCATATGATTAAATCAGGTAAATATGTTCCACATATCCATATCTTTGACAAGACATCCTCGTGGTTACCAACAATATTGACAATTTGACCTTGACCTCATTTGACCTACTGTTGAAAAATCTTTAACCTTGGTCATAATTTCTGAATGGTTTGTTTTAGGGTTTCAAAATTTCACTGTTTTAGTACATGTATGTAGCAAGAGCGTTTCTTAAATAACAACATTTTTGACTTTCTGACCTTGAGCTTAGACTTTGACCTTCTTCTAAAAACTTTTTTCATAATTTTTAAAAATAACCGATTCTTAAATATTCAAATTCCACAAGTACGTTTTTTCTTGAATTACTTTTTGTACTTTTAATTTTGGCTCTTTGACCATGATAACTTTAACTTTCGTTTGAAATTTTTTATATTTCAAAGGTTATTTTTTTGTGACAATACCTTTCCTTGAGTACCAATGATGATGTTCTTTTTCTCTTTACCTTAGCGTAAAAGTAACCATAAGAGAGCATCATTGTTTTACAATTACATCATGTTTTTTTTTACATCAGACCCTGAAAAAATCTTTAACTCTTAGTTGGACTTCAAGTACAAAAGTACAATCTATATTTTTTTGTAAAATATGCTTCAGTGTCTATATACCGAATAACAGGGATTGACCCTAATTTTAACATACACTTAATCATTAAATCCTTTTTGAAAGATGTAGTCTCATAATTGCAACGGTATGTGCAAAAATTGAGTGACACGCGATCAGACAGTTGCAGATATAAGACTACATCTTTTTGAAAAAAAATCAATCCTTTTTTTTCTTTTTCAACTCCTTGTCTTGTTTGGCAAATTTGATTTATTTTTTTAAATATCTGTGTTATATCTCAGGTACTAATAAGTTACTATCAATTGAAGTTTAATTTCTGATTTTCGCTGATGGCAATTGTATGGTATTGAACCTTTATGACGTCAAAATTGATGCATCCGATAACCTTTTGACTCCCGGTCTGTATTATGGTGTTTTGTGAGGTAAAGCCAAACGTTTCACAATAAAGCAGTATCCATCCTAATTATCCGTTCCCAAACCTTAATATGGCAGCATTAGTAAATAAGAAAGAAGTGTTTCTAAATTCAAATTTATTACAACACATATAATATGCATCATTTACTAAATACATTTCGTAGGGGAAAAATACAATAATTTGTTGCTCTATAGAGAAAATTTCACCCCCACCCCCCAATCTCTTTACTGAAAACATATTTGTTTACAAGTCACTTGATGTCTAACATTATTTAAAAAGCCATCAATCAACAAAATAAAGATTTATTTCAAATTGTTTTATCGTTTCTTTTATCATGAGGAAGCATGTGGGGATAACAAACAGAATTCAATCTCAAAGTCCATAAAACAATACAAAATAGGAGCAGAGCAAGTACGGACCTCCGAAACAGCAGAGGTGGGATCAGGAGCCATGGAGGAGTGAGCAACCCCTATTGAACCGTCATGCCCGCTGTGTTCTCCTTGTCATGATCGGGAAATTACGGGAAAATATGTTGTCAATTCTGTGTATGAATCATAAATTATCTGATTGATTGGTGGCCTTTTATCTGTAAAAAAAAAAAAAGATTGAAAATAATGCCTGTCAAAACATATTTCTTATTTTACTTTTTTATTTTGTAATGTTCATGGGAATACCAAAATAAAAATACTGGCTATTGAGATTTAATGATTATTTACTTAATGGCGTTTAATTAACATTTTGATTTCCCTGACAGATGGCCCATCCCATACTGTAGGTTTCCACCAGAATGGCTTGGACCATAGACTGTTGAGGTAGGCCCAGTTACAGTCATTATACCACCACCCTCCTCCACCTCCGTGTACAACAGCACAGTTATCACTACAT